TATATATATATATATATATATATACTTGAGAATTGTGTGACATGCATGCAAATTTACTCGAAAAAAAAATGGCAAAATGAATGTTGCATGACTCATTCGATTAAAAGCTTCAACCGCTAAAGAATCAAATGAATGTTTGCTTATTAGTCGCATGCGCTCTGATTTTCTATATGTTTTAGCTTAGCATCTGCTTTTGCGGCATCAGGCTGCTTAATATAATGTGATCTGCTTTCCATGTTAAAACTTCGAATGATTTACTGCATACCGCTCAGCTTTTATGTATTTACATTTACATATGCATGAAAATGTGCATTTCACTTTTTAAAAGTGAAAATAATGGTAATTTTGATGTGAAATGAAAATTTTGGTGTTATAAATATAAAAATTAATATTTAGGTGTTAGATATGTAAATACATAGGAATTGGGTGCTATGGCTCTCAAAATAATAAAATCCTCATTTACCCAAACTTCTATTCAATAAAAAAGCATTCCCAATCTTTATAAAAATCTTTCCAAACCCTACATTTTATTTGGGACATTTAAACATATCTAACGCCTAAACTTTTAATTTTTTGTTTTATTTACATTTAAACCACCTAAATCTTCGATACCACTAGTTTTACTTGAAAAAAATGAAATGCACATTATCTGTAAGGTGGTATATAAGTAGAAGTTGAAGTCTAGGTGTTAGACTTGTAAATACATAAGAGTTGAGTGATTTGTATGTAATTAATATTTCTTGGAACCTGTCTTCTGCTTGTAATTAGACCAGCAATTTTACATGAATTACCTGAAAATTTTTTATATTTCAGGTGTGCCCAGATGGAAAGACGATTGAAGCTGAGGCGGCACATGGCACCGTAACGCGTCACTATCGTGTCCATCAGAAAGGCGGTGAAACTAGCACAAACAGCATTGCTTCTATCTTTGCATGGACCCGAGGATTAGCACACAGGTAAACACTAATATTCTAATTTCTTTATTTCTTTTATAAGGAATACAAAGATTCGATTAGGAGGTCGTTGGCTATTGACACTGCCGTAAAAATTCATATTGCTGACTTATCGCACTTGGGATTCCCAAAAATCCCAAAATCCAATATCATCCGAAAACCAATTAAATCATAAGCACTTGTCAAATCAAAAACCATAAAATTCTCAATCATAGTAGGCATTAACTACAGCAAAGGAAACCACCGCACAGAGGAATTCTTGGGCATAAAGCCTTTTGTAAAATCAAAAGCCACAGAAAGTTAGGGTACAAATTATCTAGCGCAAAGAAGAATCACCACACAGAGGAAAGCACTAAAATCTTGGTCATGTATGTATTTCCAAAAATAAAAATAATAGCATGTTTAAGATAACGATTTCTCAATAAAAGAGGCACCACAACACATAGGAACCAACACAAGAGGAATCGCCACTCACAAAGCACCATGTGAAGAGGGGCCACCACACGAAGAGGAATCACCGCACTCAGAATGAGTTGAAGAGTAGATAAAGGAGAGGGAGAAGAAAACTCAACAAGAGAGGCAACCCTATCCGTGAGAATTGCGCGAGAGAGAGAGGAGATTTTAGGGCAAATATCACAAGAGAGGATTGCGGGAGAGGAGCGCACCGCTAGGGCAAGACACACGAGAGAATGACTTATTGTAAAAGCCACCGCGCCAGGGTGTCTAAACGCTCCCCATTGACGACGTTTCCAAGCAGCACCACAGTGCTGCGGCTAACCCCCCATTGACGACGTTCCCAAGCAGCACCACAGTGCTGCGGCTACCCCCAAAAGGGGCCAGCCAAAACTCCCCCAAAAAGATATTCGACAATAGCTTAGTTAAATCTTCTTCAAATCCTACACAAGAATTTTAACGCGTGCCCTGTTATTAGCAAGAAGCAACAGGCAAATGCTTCTTCTGCAGTAAAGCTTTTAATCAGCTAAGTTTATATTTTTTATTGATTTGTAATTTATGCGCAAAGCAAATTAATCCTTGATACTAATTGCATTTATTATCAGGGCTAAACTAGACGATAATGCTGAGCTGCTCGCCTTCACTGAAAAACTGGAGGCTGCCTGCGTGGAAACGGTGGAGTCCGGGAAGATGACCAAAGATCTCGCTCTCATCATTCATGGATCAAAGTACCCTTCACACTGCCACTCTCTCATAAATTCATTCTACCAAGATTTACATGAATACCACTCAATTCTTTAATTATTTACATATTTAACTCCAAAACTTCAATTTTTACATATATGACATTTTATCTATTATGCATGAAAAGGTGTTTCATCTCTATTATTTTTTTTTTGTAAAATAATGGTATTTAAATGTAGAAAATAAATTATAGGTGTTAGATATCCGAATACATAAGAAATTGGGTGGTATCAATGTAACTAGGGCTGTGAATTAGCTCGAAAATTAATTTGAATTTTGGCTCTGATCGAGATTTGATCGAAATAAACGAGCTGAGCTATGAGCTAAAATTTTAGATCGATTTCTTTTTTTTTCAAGCTGGTGGTCATCAACAACTTTAGTGATGTTAAGACCGTGACTTTAGTGGATTTAAGTATGAATGTAAACTCTTGAAGACTGATTCAAATTTCAGCTCAGAACAAGATTGAATTGAAATAAACGAGCCGAGTTTCGAGCCAAAATTTTGGATTGAATTTTTTTCGAGTAGATTTTGAGCCAACCCCAGCTCTATTCGAAATCTGATTCAGTGACAGCCCTATTCTGAGCTGCTTTACAAAACTGATGTGTCTTTAAACCCTTTTAAATTTATTCAGATTGAGTCGGGAGCAGTATCTGACGACCGAGGAATTCATTGATGCTGTTGCACAGGGGCTGAAGGCGAAACTCTAAGTCACGTTAATTGAAGGACAAAGTAAGTTATAGCTCATGCTATTGCACATCACATCATTTAGCGGAGATAATAATTATATTTTCATTATATATGTGGTTGGGGAGGACTCTTTAAGAGATGAGAGATGATTTGTTTCATCTAACCACGCCACAAATATTCTTATTTTGACTGCACTCTTTTTTTTTTTTTGCCTTTGGTTTATAATTGAGCTTTGTTAACTGCTGAATAGCTTTAAAGCATAACAAACTCAACTCAAGTTCGTCAAATAAAGATGTGTTTGGTTCTTTTTAACTTTTCAACGCACCACGTTTAGACTTTTTAACAAGGGAAATTTACATGCATACCAGGCAATTTTTTAAGCATTTACAAATCTAGCATTTAATTTTTTTGTATTTAGATTTATAACATTTTAGTGTCATATCTCATGCATAAATATATTCTTTGGTATTTTGTATTCATTCATTCCTACTTAAAACAACCTCTGGGTTCTTCAATGGGAACGAACGTGATGGAGAACATTCATGCTCTTGTATGCGTAGCGCGTTGATTAAAAAAAAAGTAAATGAGATGCCTCCCCAACCGAAAATTTATATTTATGTTCAGTAAAATGAGCCAAAGCGCCTGTGATCTCTCTCTCCATATCATTTTGTTTTGGAATTCAAATTCAGTTACCAGAATTTTATGTGAAATGGGTACAGAGTAATCGAACCATGTGGAGTCGATGAACTGATTTTTTGAACGCTTGTAAGGCTCTTTACTCTGGTAATAATCTGCATTAATGCAAGATGTTGTCCATAAGATATCGGAATAAATAATGGCTTCTAAATTATGCTTTAAATTTTGATTTGAACTTTGTGTATTATTAAGGATTTATTCATCTATTCCTTTTATATTCGTTTTGATGTCTGTTAAAATAAATTTAATGTTTCGAACTTGTTTTTAAATTTTAAGTAAAAACCAAATAAGTCAAACGAGGTGAAAACCAGTGGGTAATTAAGGCACTCAAGGCAGTAAACAAAGGCTAATAAATTGACATACAGCCACAAAATGGACGTACAGCCAAGAATGAAGTTCAAAATTTGACAAATATAATCGTTTAAAATAAACTTAATTTGAAATAAATCGTTTCAAATATTAAATTGTTAAGAAAACCCACAGCGTTCGGAACCGCACCGACGCATAGTTTTTCTTCTTTGTAAAAATGCGCGTAGACATTTAGGAAATTCATTTTTTTCTTTAAAAAATTGTTAACTTTTTTTATATCGTCAAGTCATTTCTCATTATAGAAATTTAATAATAATAACAATACAATCATATAATTAAAACTAAGCCAAGTACATGTAAGAAATTCACTAAAATACCGAGGCATTTGCATTCATACTACACAATTCTCAGGAATATTACAAATCATTAATTGAGATCACATCAAACACAAACACGCCTACTTTTTAAAAATGGAAAGCGTTTTTTTTTTAATGCAAAGTTTATGACACTGAAGTGTTATAAATGTAAATATAAAATTTTGGGTGTAAGATGTATGGATGTAAATTTCTCTAAAAAAATTTGCCCCAAAACAACTCAGAAAGCCGTTGAACAGCATGAATGAAAGATAAAACATATAAGAAAACCATATAATAGTTACTTTGCAGCGGGGCATTCGGCAGAACCTTAAAATAAAAATTTATCTCCAGATTTATAAAAAGGAAGTATCAGGGGTAAAGGTGACAACTCTTACCTCACATACATTTGAACCTCTTGTGGGCACAACTGTTGACAATCTTTCTACTGCAGCACTACCGTCTCATCCGAACGAGCAACAATTTTCGGATGAGGAATGACAGATCTACACTTCCAGGAGAAAGAAGAAGAATGGAGATCTACTTGAGCTAAGGAATCTAATGGATGATACTTTTGTTACTTCAGACAATGGTACGCATCTCACCAATTTGTTAGTTGGTTCCCTTTCAAGAACTAGAGGTAGAGGCAGAACTAAATTGGGTCGATCGATTGATCTTATATATACCATCTTCTTTAGGGGTTTTAATTTTTCTTTTTTCTTTTTGTGTGTGTTGTACCGTGTGGGTTGGGTGCCTATTTGGGCCCACTCATACAACCTATATGTACCATTTTCTCTTTAATATAATTTCCCTTGGGCTTTATATATATATATATATATATATAATCTGATTCATGAAATGTTGATAATTTATTAATTTACGTTCAGGAGAATAATATTTTTACTTTATATATATACATAAATCATAAAAAAAGAAGTTTATCACTGTAAATAATATTTAATGAATGTTAGCATTTTTCTTAAAATCATAGTTAAAAAACATGTTAGTAAAATTTTTATAATTTCACAAACAAAAACAATCAAATAGTACCAAAAAAAGAATCAAACTATATATTGAAATGAAGCCAAAAATTTCAACAAACAACATTTGTCACATGTAAACATTCTAAATTCACAATATAAAAGAGAAAAAATTCATTGTTATAAATCAATATAAAATTCACTAACATGATTCTCCCAAAAGAGTGGAAGTAGTGTGTGATTCATATTGTCCCAAGACATTTTTTATGAGCATTTAAATGTTATAGATCTTTCTAATACTATATGATTAAAAATCAAATCTTTTCATATCACATAAAAAATACTATCATTTTAATTTTTAACGAGTGAAATACATCTTTTTCATGCATCGGTGAAGTGGTAGGTATGTAAGTATGTAAACATTGAATTTAAGGTGTTAGATATGTAAATACATAGGAATTGAGAGTTTTCCGTGTGTAAATTTCCTGAAAATAATAAAAAAAATGTACCTCTCTTCTCGGGAGGCCAGCAAGAGTAAGCTTGACAGCTTGTTGTTGAGTCTGCCTGTTGAAACTTGCAGTTGGTTCTGATCTATCTAAAGGGTGATGGTACTTGCATCTCTCTGCAAACTTGCAATGCCCAGTCTTCATATAGTGCTGAAAGCAAATAACACATGCCCTCTCTAATTTGAGACTCAATTGCATCATAATTATGAAAATGACAAATAAAGTCTTAATTTAACAGAAACAACCATGCCCCCGATGATCAATGAAATAATTCTGGGACATCTACAAACATACCACCTAATTCATATGTATTTACATATCTAACACCTAAACTTTATTTACATTTTACCACCCGAAGCTTTTAATATCACACATCTTAAATACCATCATTTGACCTTTTCATGCATAGGTAAGATGCATGCAAATAAAAAAATTGAAGTTAAGGTGCAGATATGTAAATACATAAGAATAGAGTGGTATGTATGTAAATCTTCCTTCTTTTAATTAACAAGGGTGATATGTTCATTAGTCAATTTAGGATAAGTATGATTATCAACGTATATCAAGGGAACATGTGAAACTTAAATTTGGTTATCAAAATAAAAATTATGCTCATCCCGTTTCTCCCACCTGTTTTTTCTCTTATTACAAAAAGCTTTCTACAAATCTTCTTCTCTCTCCCTCAATACAATAAATTGGTCAAATCCTAACTTCGTCCACACAATAATCATTGAAAATTAAACATAAGCTGGTCGATATTATGATGAATATCGATTTGAAGCAAAGATTATAAATCCTAAATGATATGTCCTTATGATTTTTTTTAAAAATTTTTATAAGCTACCAGCTAACATAATCAATGCATTATCTTCTCAACACTCTGCATGAACATAATTAACCCTACATCAATTTATAAATCCTTAACCAACCCACAAAACATGTCAAAATTCCCCTCTCCAAGGTATACAAGACCCTACCCTCCTCTCCTCATAACATACCATACATGAATATTATTTAGGACAAAATATTACATCAGTACTACGCACGTAGAGGAAGGTGTGCACCCAATAAAATCACGCCACGTATCCCGCGCGACGCAGAAAAAAAAACGGCGCAGTAACACGGGGAATATTCCCCCCCATGTTATTCATGTGTTATTGTGTGTTATTGTATCCTGGGAATATTCCTGATGTTATAATAACACAATAACACATCAATAACACATGAATAACACACAATAACACATGAATAACACGGGGGGGAATATTCCCCGTGTTACTACGCCGTTTTTTTTCTGCGTCGCGCGGGATACGTGGCGTGATTTTATTGGGTGCGCACATTCCTCTACGTGCGTAGTACTGATGTAATATTTTTTCTATTATTTAGAATCCATATTTTTTTTCAAAAGAATTGATAAGCGTGCAATCCAAACGAAAGCCCTTTATAGGTCACAAAATCATGTAATCGGTGTTTGATACACGATCTTATGTGTATCCTTAAGGCAATAGAACAACAAGGATCAACATAATCATCCGTGATCTTATTCACTAGTTTGCAATTCATTTACACACTCTCCTTATGTCAGGTTCATTGACAAGATAATAGGAGAGTTGTAGTTATGTCAAGACTCCAACAAGTTAAATGAGGAGCAATAATCATATTCCTTATTCATAGGCTTGATGAGACAATATGATGAATGATCAAATAAGCTCCAAAATTAAAATTTATGCTCTTGAATTTCAAATTTGAATTCGAATTAATTTTGCAATATCCTCCATAGCATTTACAGAAAAACCTTGGAATATCAAATCAAAGAAAAATAAATAACCCCCAAACTCCTATCGCACCTTGGATGTAATTCTACCATTCATCCAATCCTATCTATTCTCTCCCATCAGGCGAAAATTTCCTCTCTCTCCCTCTCAATACTCCTCATGTGTCGATAACTGCAAAACATTCTTCTCACAAACATCCTTTCTCTTTAAATTTTTTTCTCTTTTAACTTCGTCCATCCATTGTTTGTCCTTTTTTAACAAACTCAAGGTAAGAGTCGATCAACACGTCACACTCGGGTAGAAATACTACCACCTCATAATTCCTATATAAATCCTCCTCTTGAATTGCCCCTAAATTTTAACAAGTAACTCCCATCCATATTTCAACCAATAGTATCAATGCAATTTAAAATACTTTATCCTATTTACTACAGAAAATTAGTCCCACAGAAAAAATTCTAATTCATAAAAGAAATCTATTATATAAACTCTTATCTTAAACCCTAATCCAGACTACGATAGATCATAAAAAATGGGGGAAAAAAAAAGCTTTATGGATCTTCTCCATCTACCCCATATGTTCTGCTTCAAAATAAATAGCCAAATTTCATAAACTTTGATTCAAGGTTTCTAAAATAAAGAACTATTTAAAAACATTTTATCATTTCAAGAAGGGATCTATAGCCACACAAATTTATAGAATACGATTGTCGCCATTACACTCCACATGTAAGTAGCCCATTCTTATCTTCTTCCGTATGTGCTCCCTACGTCCCTTTTCTTTTAAGGTGTTGCCCCCAATAAGGACTTCATTATTTTGGCACTACAATAAAGCATCTTCACGTCCTTCCACCAAATAAGGGTTATGTAGAACAAATATGAATTATATCTTGTGTCCTAATATTTTAATTAAATTGTCCTGGCATTTTTTTTATTAATTAACTTTAATCTTAATTTAATCTATAACGAGGAACACAATCATTAGTCTGTTAAGATGAATAAGATTATTAGTTTTATCTTGAATAGCTTTCTAAAAGAAAAGCCTAAGGGATCATAAACTATGATTATTTGAATAAAAATGATACTTGGCATTGGGGATTCTGATACGAACTAAAAATAATGAACAAACAGATAAATTGCAATAAAGTTATGGGGGGAACTCAATCAAGAGCTAATTTTACTAATGCCACCAATGAAAGCAAACAAGATATAACATGATCTACAGTTCAAGAGATAAATCATCTTTCCACAAATCCTCAACGCCGTTAGGAACACCGAGAGAAAAATAATAATAATAAATAAACTACATCAAGTTAAAACACCAGAACAAGCCCTAGCTAATTTTCCCTAAATATATACTCCCAAGATTTCTTCAAACTTTCCACCCAAAACACTCCTTAATTTCCCTCTTCTTGTATATGGTTAAAGGCTATGTGGGGCCCACTCGAGTGATAGAGTTATCTGCAATAACTACTAGGAATTCCGCCACTTCTAGGCTAGGTCTTCTGGCTTGGTATAGCCGGTCCAGACCAATCCAATCCTCCTTGAACCAGTTTGTAGTCTTCAAGGTTGGCTCTCACGTCATTTGGCGCGGAAGGAGATGTATGCGTATCAATTTTTCCTCTCTTAAGTTATGTACCTAATTGTTCACCCTCTTACCTCCTTTTGCCGCTTCTTCCGCCCACCCCAACCCAACCATTCAAGCTTTTTGTAAATCTTCTAATTTGTTCCCTCTACATCCACACAACAAAATTTTCTCAAAAAATGATTAGACCAAAAGTAATTTTCATGTTGTTGTAAATCATAATCAAACACATGATCTTAAGCTTGTTGATAATATAAAAATGATATAGAAGCATATATTAAATTAGTAGAGTAACCATTGCTTCCCTATGAGAAGAAAAGTTCATCTCATAACATTATAGCGCAAACAACAACAGTTGTGGCTGATAATGATGATGCCAAAACTGGCTATGCTATAAAGAAAAACCAGAAACAAGCATCGCATAACAGCAGGTGGTCTGCAAGTTTCGGCAACATCAAATCTAAAAAGGGTATTTACATACATACCACACAATTCCTATGTATTTACATGTCTAACACCTAAATTTTAAACTTTAAACTTTGCTTTTTTACATTCATAACACCTAAACCTTTCATATCTCATAAAAAAACCACCATTTTAACTTTCAAAAAGTGAAATATAATTTTTCTGGCATAATTAAGGTGGTATGCAGGTCAAATATGAAGTTTAGGTGTTAAGATATGCAAATACATAGGTAGTATGTATGTAAATCTTCCAATCTAAAAGACCATTATGGAGAAAACAAAATTCTGAAGTTCGGCCTTCATGATTGGTAAAAGAGCACAAACAAGGCTAAAATAAGCCCAATAAGCTAAAAATAACACATCTAATCTTACAACAATCTACTAGATAGATACACATTTTTTAGATCTACAAAACAGTCGAACGCGAAACCATAAAAAAAAAAATAATCTGGCACAAAAATTTTGTATAGAACTTACATCACATTCAATTTCTCCAGGCCTTTGAGGATATACAGCTGTCGCAGCTCCAAACTGCAGTAGCAAAAAGGATTGTTAGCCCATGAAACACTAAAGGGTCATTAACATACATACCATATAATTCTAATATATTTACATATCTAACACCTAAACATACATATTTGCATACATACCACTCGAATCACTATCACATCAAAAGTACCATCATCACAATCTTTTAAAGTGAAACACACATTTTCATGCTCAGGCTTATGGTACCAAAGTGTTTATAGCTAGACATGTAAAAATAATAATAATAATAATAATTCATGGTATGAATGTAAAATTCCCAATAATAAAATGTAAACTCACGGATTAAGATGGCTGTAAAACTAATCAGATCAAGTTAAACTATCATCATGAATCATACGATAGAAATGATTGGAGGAGTTATGCTACAGAAACCTGAGCAAAACGAGCGTCCAAAGTTGGGAGAAAGCTAGCTGCTGGATTTATGACTCCGACGGGTAAAGTGGCAGCTGTTGGAGTTATATAAGCATGGCCTATATTAGGCGTTGTAACAGGAGCAGTGACAACTGCAAACGAGAATAATAGAAGAGCAGTAAAGAAAAACTAATTCTAGAAAATATTATAGCAGTGCAAAAAATATATATATACCATATCTGTCGGGGTGACTATATCTGCAAGTGGTGCCAAATTTGCAGCTGTGTAAAATGGAAACGATGAAATAAAATACTTAGGGTCCTAAGTATTAAATTATTGTTAAAATTTTTCCTTTATGTAGAACAAGTAATATTACCTTCCAGTCTTTAGGTAGAATGGACAATCAGTTTCACCCTACATAAGAAGAAACAGTTAAGGGAATCTACCTTGTCTCAAATCTTTAATATCAAACAAAAAAAAAAAGAATGTCAACTTTTTAAAAGTGAAATACAATTTTTAATGGAAATGTTTGAAACACCAAAATGCCATGTATGTAAATAGAAAAGTTTAGGTGTGATCTATGTAAATACATAAAAAATGTGTGTTAGGTATGTAAATTTCCTATTTTTGCTTTCTTAATATTATTTTTGAAAAATCAGACAACAAAATGCTAAGGATAAAAATTTTTCAAATAGAAGTCCATCACATATAATACTTGCCAAAAAATTATAACCCCTTGGTTTAAGCAGTCCACAATCTGTATGGATGAGAAATAGTTACACCTAACATAAAGCCAAACCAAGAAGCTTACCGGTCGTATGGGTAGGCCCTTAGAATTATGCCATAAAGCAGGCGTGAATGGTACGAATGACTTTGTTTGCTTTGAATAACCACTGCTAGCATCATCATTGTTTGATGTTGGTCCATTATTTGCAGCTAATTGTATCAGAATGTCCTTTGGATGATGAAATTTGCAATTTCCACCAAATTTGCACTTTCCGGTCTTTGCATAAAACTAAATAAAGAAATTTAAGGTCAAAATGTTGTGAAAAAATGAGCTAGAAATGTTGCAATAAAGGTTAACCGAGAAAAGGTAAAATATACTTCAGAAAAAAAACTCACCGCACAAACAGGTTCTGATGGCCTTTCTGGTAAATCTACATAAAATCCATTGCTCTACACGTGCACAAAAATGAGAAAAAGTATATCATAAAGATAGATACAGAAGCGCATATTAAGTCAGGTTAATCCTACCTCTACAATGCCTGTTGAAGAATATAATTTCTCATTGGGATGGTTGAATTTGCAATTCAAACCATATTTGCACTTTTGAGTCGTCTTCAAGAAGTACTGGACAATTTAAAAAAAAAAAAAAGAATAATATGGCTAAAGACTTCAATAAAGAATTTTGTTGCAAAAACACTCAAATCATACAGGACAATCAGGTTCTCCTGGTCTCTGCGGAAGGGATTCAGCAGC